CTCTCCCAGCCTGTCCTCCCAGCAGAGGGGCTCCAGCCCTCCCAGCATCTCCGGGGCCTCCTCTGGCCCCGCTCCACCAGGTCCATGTCTCTCCTATGTTGGGACCCCCCGAGCTGGAGGCGGCACTGCAGAGGGGTCTCCCCAGAGCGTACAATCTCCCCCCCTCCGTCGCCCTGCTGGAGATGCAGCCCGGGATGCCGGTGGCCTTCTAGGCTGTGATTGCACATCGCCGCCTCACGTTGAGCTTCTCATCCACCACCACCCCAAAATCCTTCTCCTCAGGGCTGCTCTCCGCTCATTCTCCACCCAGCCTGGAGTTGTGCTGGGGATTGTCCCCACCCAGATGCGCTTGGCCTGGTTGAACCTCACGAGGTTGACACCTCTCCAAGCCTGGCCAGGTCCCTCCAGATGGCATCCCTCCCCTCCAGCCGTGTCTACCGCGCCGCACAGCTCGGTGTCATCGGCAAACTCGCTGAGGGTGCGCTCCATCCCGCTGTCCGTGTCACCAACAAAGGTGTTGAACGACACCGGTCCCAGTCCCGACCCCTGAGCAACACCACTCGTCGCTGCTCTCCACTTGGACGTGGAGCCGTTGACGACAACTCTTTGCATGTGACTGTCCAACCAGTTCTTTATCCACCGAGTGGTCCATCTGTAGAATCCACATCTCTCTCCAGTTTAGAGACCAGGATATGGTGTGGGACAGCGTCAAACGCTTTGCACGACTCTGGGTAGTATAGAACGCTTTCGGTTGGAAAAGACCTTCTCCTCAGGGCTGTTCTCCATCCCTTCTCCACCCGGCCTGGGGTTGCCCTCGCCCACGGGCAGGACCTCCCGCTCAGCCTGGTTGAACTTCACAGGTTGGACGGAGCTTGGAGCCACCTGGGCTGGTGGAACGTGTCCCTTCCCAGGGCAGGGGGTTGGAACTGGATGATCTTAAAGCTTTCTTCCAACCTGAACCATTCTGTGAAGAAATTCTTGACTCTGAGGGTGGTGAGCCCCCGGCGCAGGTTGCCCAGAGAGATGCCCCATCCCTGGAGGTGTTCAAGGCCAGGTTGGACGGGGCTTGGAGCAACCTGGGCTGGTGGGAGGTGGCCCTGCCCAGGGCAGGGGGGTTGGAACTGGGTGATCTTCAAGGTTTTTTCCAACCCAAACCTTTCTAGGGTTCTATTATTCTCCAAAAACCCCAGCCCAGGTTGCCCGGAGAGGTGGGACATTCCCCATGCCTGGAGACATCCCGAGTCAGGTTGGATGAGGCTCCATTAAGTTGGAGATGCCCATGGTGGGGGATGGTGGACTAGACGATCTTCCAGATCCCTTCCAACCCAAACCGTGCCATGACCGGGTGCCGGTTGCTCTCCCCTTACCCACCAATGCCACAATGCCGGCGTAGGAGGCCACCAAATTTGTCAGGCGGTGGCCACCACCTCCTCCAGGTGGTTCCGGGGAGGATCTTCTCCATGGTCTGTGCCGGGTGGAGGCGAGACTGACTGGTCTGTAGTTCCCCGGCTCTCTTTTAAGAAGAGGGGGGTGATGTTCCCCCTTTTCCAGCCATGAGGAGCTCCACCGGATTGCCGCCACGTCTCAAACCCCGCGGAGAGCGGCTCGGTGCCTTCATCCTCCTCCTCCTTCTCCTCTTCCTCCTCAGGTCGGTGACTCGAAGCTACTACCGGGGCGCAGCCGGGGCGCTGCTGGTGTACGATATCACCAGGTGGGTTTGGGCGCCGTTCCCCCGTGGGGGCGTTTGTTGGGAGTCGGGGGTGGGTGTGGGGTGGGCAAAAATGGGGCTCAGCACCTTTCTGCCCCACGTCGTCCAGCCGAGAGACCTACAACGCGTTGACCAACTGGTTGACGGACGCCCGCACCCTCGCCAGCCCCAACATCGTCATCATCCTCTGCGGCAACAAGAAGGATCTGGACGCCGATCGGGAGGTGACCTTCCTGGAGGCTTCGCGGTTCGCTCAGGAGAACGGTGAGGGACGGCGGGGACAACCTCCGGCGGGGGGATTGCGTGTCTGCTTCTGGAGTTAATTAAGGTGGAAATAAGGAGGTTTTTCTTCCTCGTGGTAGAGCTCATGTTCCTGGAGACCAGCGCCCTGACGGGAGAGAACGTGGAAGAAGCCTTCTTGAAATGCGCCAGGACCATATTAAACAAGATCGAATCGGGTACGGCGGATCCGGGGGGGTTTGGGTCCCCCGAGGATGGAGGTTTTGGGTCCCGGTGGAGGTTTGAATCCTGGGGATGGAGATTTTGGGTCCCAGGGAAGGTTCTGGATTCCGGGGATGGAGGTTTTGGGTCCTCAGTGGAGGTTGTGAATCCCTGGGATGGAGATATTGAATCCCGGTGGAGGTTTTTGGATCTTGAGGATGGAAGTTTTGGATCCCGGTGGAGGCTTTGAGTCCACGGGATGGAGGTTTTTTGGGTCCCCTGGGAATGGAGGTTTTGGGTCCCAGTGGAGGTTTGAATCCCTGGGGTGGAGATTTGGAATCCCAGTGGAGGTTTTGGATCCTTGGGATGGAGGTTTTGGGTCCCGGTGGAGGTTTGAATCCTGGGGATGGAGATTTTGGGTCCCAGGGAATGTTTTGGATCCTGGGGATGGAGGTTTTGGGTCCTCAGTGGAGGTTGTGAATCCCTGGGATGAAGATGTTGAGTCCCGGTGGAGGTTTTTGGATCTTGAGGATGGAGGGTTTGGATCCCGGTGGAGGCTTTGAGTCCATGGGATGGAGGTTTTTTGGGTCCTTGATGGAGGTTTTGGATCCCAGTGGAGGTTTGAATCCTGGGGATGGAGATTTTGGGTCCCAGGGAATGTTTTGGATCCCGGGGATGGAGGTTTTGGGTCCTCAGCGGAGGTTTTGGATCCTGGGAATGGGGATTTTGAGTCTCAGTGGAGGGTTTTGGATCCTGAGGATGGAGGTTTTGGGTCCTCAGCGGAGGTTTTGGATCCTGGGAATGGGGATTTTGAGTCTCAGTGGAGGGTTTTGGATCCTGAGGATGGAGGTTTTGGGTCCCAGTGGAGGTTTGGGGTCCAGGGGATGGAGCTTTTGGGTCCCGGGGACGGAGGTTTTGTGTCCCAGTGGAGGCTGGAATCCTGAGGATGGAGATTTTAGGTCCCAGGGAAGGTTTTTGAATCCCTGGAGACAGAGGTTTTGGATCCCAGCAGAGGTTTTGGGTCCATCAGTGGAGATTTTGAGTCCCTGGGATGGGGATTTGGAATCCCAGTGGAGGTTTTGGGTCCCGGGGACGGAGGTTTTGGATCCTTGGGAGGGGTTTTGGGTCCCGGGGACGGAGGTTT